CCTAAGTGCCAGGTAGAGCAAAACCATGTGGTGGGTGTGAGGCAAATGTAGCAGGTACACACACTTCGACAGCTACCTCTCTGCATACACAGTCACTACCGACAGACAGGCCCTGCCCCTCCCCGCCCCTCCCCACCCCTCCTCTCCCCTCCCCTCCTCATTGAGAATCACTTCTTGCAGAGGGTCATAATTATTTCCAAATATTACTGGTCTGATGACTTCCTCCTCCCAGTGCAATTTTTTCACTTCCTCTTTCAACCTCTGGTTCCTGGGCAGAGCCATACCCTGGAACTGGTCTGGTCTGCATGTCTCCCCAGCAGAGGAGGACTCCGCAGACAGCATCCAAGTGGGTGGGCAAGTCACGGCCGCCATAGCAGATGACTCCTATTTATTTTGCATTAAGATTTTAATTTGTATATTTTTGTGATTTATTTTGGCATTGTTATGAGTTTGACTCTCGGGGAGTTTTGTTGTTATGACTCTTGTGTCTTTTGTCACAAAACAATGATAATATTTGCTAAACAATATATGGAATTTATTTTTGATTGGTAATAAAAAACGAAATGCAAACAAGTTTTGGTGAGCATATAACTCGGGTATTTTGCTTCTGGACTGTTTACTGTATGTCGAAGAGACAGGAGCGACTACCTGTCACTTGTGACAGAACAAGGGCAGTTGAGTATTGTAGAACCATTTGGAAGTGAAATACAAGAAGAACTGTAATTTACAAAGTATATATAATCAAGGCAGTTGTCACAGGAGTTGTGAAGTGGCAGCTGCTGGCAGACACGCAGGGCACATAAGTCAGATGTCATAGGATTCTGTTTGTGAGTGTTGGAATGGAGCAACCGGAATGAACAAATTGCCCTCCTTCCGCTCTGGGGGCTGAGGGCTCCATGCAATAGTGGGATGGCGTTTCACAACACACAGAAACTACTTTGTGTATATCGATGGCTTTGGGGGTTGGAGTGTCCATCTGAAATGGCTGGCCTAAGGTTTCCACGCTGGGCTGCCTAGGTTATCACTCAGAGCCACGGCTGTGGGACCATTTGATGGCAAGCACACATGCTGAAAACTACCGTGTACAGTCCTGGACTCCAAGGCTGGAGAATCAAGCAGAGCTCAAATGGGAGGTTGTTTTTATTTGTGCTTGATAGAGGGTCTCCCTGTGGAGCCCAAGTTGTTTTCATGTGGTAATGACCCATTGCCTTCAGCTCCTGGGTGCTGGAGTCACAGGCATGCACCACCATGACTATGGTTCTTGTGTTTGTTTGAGACAGGACTTTTATTATGTACCTCTAGCTGTTCTGGAATTTTCCCTGTAGACCAAGTTGGCCTCAAGCTCAGAGATTCACCTGCCTCTGCCTACCAAGTGCTGGGATTCAAGAAGTGTGCCACCATTCCCAGGCCTAATTACATTGTTTTTAGAAAAGATCTTGCTCTATAGAGCTGGCTGGTGTCCATATGCCTTCCTTTCTTCCAGTACCCTGGTTGAACTGGACATGCTGGCACATGTCAACTCAACACACAAGAGGCTGAAATAGTAGCATCATGAATCTGAGGCCAGTCTAGGCTACATAAGAAGGCCCTGCCAGTGGGGAAAGGGAGAGCACTTGGGTAGGCAAAAGAGAATATTCCAGATGAGAGGATGACGTGGCAACTGTCTGTTGTCCGGCACAAGTGTGTTTGGTGCTGAGCCCCTGCTACACACTAGTTGCTAGCTTTGTAAGGAAGAGCCCCGGAAGGGATCATTGTCCAAGGCCTTTGTACTTCCTGGCACTTCCATCTGGGACATTTCTTCCCAGACCTTATAAGGCTTGCCCCTCCTTTCAACCTCTGTTCAAATGTCACCTCCTTAGAGAAGCCTTCCTTGATCACCTTCATTTCAGATAGCATCTCAATGTTTCCTTATCCTCTCCTTATGACACTTCCTCTAGATCTTCAAATTTCCTGTTGTCCCAGCATTGATTATGAGTACCATGAGGGTGGGGGTGGAGTGTTGTTCCTGCCAGAGTCCCAGCCTTTAGGAAAGTATCTGCACTGCACACACTCGGTGTAGGAAATGCTTGTCACATGAGCAAATGAAGATCTTGGCTGGATCCCTAGCCCAACCTAATCAACATAATCAGGGAAGATCACACTGAGCTAAGATGAAGAAGCTAGCCAGGGAGGTCATGACCCCCACACACACACCCCCCATGAGATTTTTGCTTTGTTTTTTTTTAATTGATGTTTGTATGTTTGCGTGTACATATGGCATATACACTATGCAGCATGTGTGGAAGCCAAGGGCGACTCTCTGGAGTTGGTTCTCTCCTCTTTCTATGGGTTTCAGGGATCGAGCTCGGGTTGCCAGGCTAGCACAGCAGGTGCTTCACACCTGAGCCATCTCACCAACACATGTTTTGCTCAATACACAGTCTCTTTGTAGCCCAGGCTAGCCTTGGAATTTCAATTACCCTGCCTCTGCCTCCTGGGTGCCAGGATTATAGTAGTTAGAAATTTTAAATGATAAAAGAGCAAATAATTAAAAGTGGAGATGCTCTGGCCTAGATGGCCACTAAGGGAAATGTCCCAGGCAGTGCCTTCGAGAAACCTAAGTAAAAGTCCAGCTACTCCATTGAAGTTGCGATGAAACCAGAAATGGAGCAAAGAATGGCCGGGAGAAAGAAGAATGCTCTAAACGGAAACCGATCACTCCAGCAGCCCGAGTTCTCCATGGGCTCAGATACGGACAGTTTAAAAACCATCTGCTGTTTTCTACATTATACTCAATCTTCTTTCACTCAAGGTTTGTTTTGTTTTGTTTTGTTTTGTTTTGTTTTCCGAGACAGGGTTTCTCTGTGTAGCCCTGGCTGTCCTGGAACTCACTCTGTAGACCAGGCTAGCCTTGAACTCTCAAACTCGAACTCAGAAATCCACCTGCCTCAGCCTCACTCAAGGTTTTTAGCCTAAAAAAAAAAAAAAAGTAGAGAGAGAGGGAAAGTCTTGAGTTCCTCCTTTCCTGCAGTCTGTTCCTTGCCGGCTGATGGCTTCAGACACGTGATTCATTGCATGCACACCATCTGTTCCGTCTCCGGGTCAGCATTTTATCTTGACTCAGAGACATGATGAAAACCAAAGGTTACACTCACTCTACAGCTCTGGGACTTTTGTCCTTAAAGGCAGCAAGACAGTTCCAGTGCAAAGGAGCAACCATGTCTTAATTGCTTCTACTGGTAGCTGGTTCTGTCGCCCGCTAGAGGCAAAACTTCTTGTGACATATAGCATTGTTCAGATAATAAAAACAGAAGCGGAGATGGGACTTGCCAGCCAACATTCTGAGTTTACAATGTAAAAGAGTCACTGCCAACTTTGTAAAGACTTTCCGAGGGACTTTGTTTAGTTCTTAAGGGTGTGTGAGTGTGAGTGTGTGTGTGTGTGTGCCACGTGTGTGAGGGCAGGAGAGGGCACAGGATTCCTTGGGGCTGGAGGTACAGGTATAAGCCTCCTGAGTAGAGGTACTGGGAGCTACATGATGGTCCTTTGGAAAAGCAGCATGTACTCTTAATCACGGGCCCAATTTCTCTAGCCCCTTGTTTTGATTTTGAGACAGGATCTCACTATATAGCCCTAACTGGCCTCTAACTCACTATGAGGCCCAGGCTGGCCTCTGCTATTATTACAGGCATGCTGCTACACCTGGATGAGAGGTTTTCACCAACTCTTTTCCCTCTTGGTCTTTCCCCATAGGCTTGTTTTTACACATTATCTTCTACACAACTTGTGGCCATATTGCAGATACTTTTTTTTAGGTTGGTATTTTCAGGACACTGAGTTATGTCTACAGAATCCTTTAAAAAAAAAAAAACATTTAAGGAGCTGAAGAGATGGGCTCAATGGTTAAGAACACTTACTGCTCATGCAGAAGGCCTGTTTCCCAGAACCCACATGGTGGCTCACAAATGTCAACTCTAATTCCAGGGGATGTACTTGCACACACAACAGACATACATACACTTGGGCCCACACATACCCACAAAACAAAACAAAAATATGTATAAGATGTGTACACGTCTTAGGAAATTTAGGGAGAAAATAGAGAAGAAAAAAAAAAGAAAGCAAAATCATGGATAACCACAGAGAAGCTAATCACATAAAGACCACATACAAAGAGTGAAGAACGCTCCATCTGATCCATGCAGGTGTCTTCCAAAATGAGGGCAAAAAGAACCCTCGAGAATAGTTTTCTCAGCCTGAGAAATCAGGATAAACTGCGGTTGTGAAGCTAGCAAGTATGAAAATTCCTGACACCTGCTACCTCCCTGCATAGCAAGATGACCTGGATGTCAGAGGCACACAGACTCAGTCTCTAAACATTGTTCTAGTGTACAATTAATTACATTAAACAGGTGTGAAGATTCAAGGAAACTGATTTTTCTAGATTTTGAGTATTTACCATGGGTCTTCCGGTTAAGGCAACTTCCTCAAAAGCAGGTGTCTTTCTTGATAGCCACAGAGTCCGATGCAAGGCAGGAACGCCTTTAAGAGACTTTAGCTTTAGAATATACCAATATGGCCGGAGAGGTTAAGAATGTGTGCTGAGGACCAGAG